AGGATGTAAAGAAAAGGGAACTCTCCTGCACTGTTAGGTGGAGTGCAAGCTGGTCCAGCCACTGTGGAGAGCTGTGTGGAGATTCCTCAACCTTGTAAAGATGGAGCTTCCATGGGATCCAGCAATTCCTAAGTTTATAGCAGCACTATTTAGAATAGCTAGGCTATGGAAACAACCCAAATGCCCAAAAATAGATGACTGGATCAAGAAGATGTAATACATACACCCAATAGAATATCACTCAGCAATCCAAAAAGATAAACTCATGCAATTTGCAGCAACATGGATGGAGCTGGAAGGGATCATGCTCAGCAAAATAAGCCAGAAAGAAAAAGAAAAACACCCGATCTTTGGAAAACCCTAAAAATCAGCAGGAATTTAGAAAATTTAAATAAGGGACCAGGAAAAAACTCAATTATAATAAAGTAAAAAATCAAAATCAACAAGCAACTATAAACCAGAGACACACTTCAGGGGGAGAGGAGGGGGGAGGATCAAAACAAGGGAGGAGATGGGAATTGTATGGGGACTACAACCAAGATGAAAATGCATACATTGTGCAAAAATGAAAAAATAATGTAAAAATATATAAAATTTAAAAAATAATAAAAAAGACCAATAAGCAGTGTACACAACCCAGAGGAGTCTGAAAAAAAAAATATATCCATCATATGTCCCAGCAATTCCACTGCCAGGTAGATACCCAAACGCAAAACCACTAATTCAAAGGGATATGTGTACTCCTGTGTTCATTGTAGCAATATTTACAATAGCCAATTTGTGGAAACAACCTAAGTACTCAATGGCAGCTGAGTGGATTATAGAAATGTGGTATTTACATACAATGGAATACTACTGTGCTATAAAAAAATGAACCCTTGTGATAATATGGATGGAACTGAAGGGGATTACGCTAAGCAAAATCAGCCAGAAGGAGAAAGACAAGTAACAAATGATTTTACTGCTATGTGGAATATAGAGAAAAAAACAAAGGGGTCAGACAAAATCAAACCAATAATGAATCCTAAAAATCTGACTGTAAAATTGGGACAGTGGAGGAGTAGAAGGGTGGAGAGCAAAGTATGAGGTTACCCAATGGACAATGAACCTATACCTCTGAACCTATACCTCTGAATCATATATTGCTGTAAACCAACAGTACCTCATTAAAAATAATATATTTTTTTAAAAAACAGCCTTAAAGACAGGCATACTGTGACTTTGATTCTTAGGGGGACTCCATTTGCATTGTATTATTTTTATATGTAAAGAAAACATCTGACCCCTTCTCCTGCACTCTCTTTCCTTGAGAGAATCCCAAATATTGATCCCAAGATATAACCTCTGACTTGCCGTTATAAGTATTTATTTATCTAACATTGTCTGCCACTACTTTTCAGTTTCTTTTTTTTTTTTTAAAGTAGAGTTTTTGTTTTTTTTTTAATAGAGGCATGTTTTATTTATTTATTTATTTATTTATTTGTTTGTTTGTTTTGTTTATACATGCACTGGGTACAGTCAGAAGCGCGGGAGGGTGAGAGAATTCACCAGAGCCAGAGCGGGGAGCAGAGCAGGCAGAAGGACCGAAGTACACTGCTGAGGGGAGCAGCGGGCGGCAGGAGAGGTCTGCACGCCATGTGGGACCCTCCTCCTGTGGCCGGGGAGCAGCCGGGGATCGAACCGGCGCCGCAGAGGCCGCGGGCAGCTTCGAAACCCAGCGCTCAACCGCTGCGCCACCGGGGAGGCCCTCCTTTTCAGTTTCTATGTTAACAATTCAACAAGCTTGGTTGTCCTACCTCCTTGGACCCAATGTGACAGGCAGGCATGTTCCTCGTCCTGTTTGATAAACTGTCTCATTATAGTTTAAGGATCTTTGGAAAACCCTAAAAATCAGTTGGCAGCTACAATGACTTTCTCTAGGTAGCCTTTTTTTGGCCATTAAAAAGGACCTAGAGGATCAATGATCATTTTCCTTCCTTTCAACCTTATCTTTTAAAGTTTTGACTTAGATTTATTACCTAACAGACTAGAAAGACAGGAGAAAAGTCACGGCTAGAACAACTGAATAGAACTGTTGATTATGATTGACAAAGAGCCCCAGTGTGTAAGAGAGAAACAAAGGGACCTTTATGTGGTGGGAAACATGTGACCAGCTGCCCCACTTCAGCCAGAGCAGTCCCATTTGTTAGTCTACTTTTCTGGATTTTCTTCAAAATTCTGATTGAACCTGGTCCATGCCTCACCCCTCCCCACTTCCATTATTTTTAATAAGGAGTGAGAAAAGAGGGATCTGTGAACAGCCCCTATGGCTTCTTTGAGCTAAATCTTCCCCTCTGTTTTCTAAAATATTGTCTCCAATGTTTAATCAGTAAAACACCTACACCCATTTATAGGTTATATTCATGTATTACTTGCATTCACACTTTATGCTGATATGTGCCTTCTAAAACAAAAAAATAAATATACAAATTAAAAGAGATGCAAATAAATGTAATTAGAATTTACTTAATATTTCTCTATACCTAATGTATCATCTTGTATTCTTCTTGTGTCCCCCCTTTTCTGGGGGCTCCTAAGTAAAGGCAGTTGTGAGAGGCATTTGTGAACAAATGTGCAGTCTAAGAAGCTGAACCTTTCTTTACACATCATCTGGGAATGTGACAACACAGGCAGCTACCCCAAGTTTTTGGATATGCTAGGAAGACCATGTAAAAAGCAGAGGAAAGTGCTCAGCTCCAGGGTTCTAGAGAACTGAAATCTTGTCCTAGCCCTAGTGATTAATCAGTTTTGCATCTCTGAGACAATTTTTTTAAAGTCTCTGAGTTTAATGTCACTGGTAAAAGTAATAACTTTCTTCCTGTTTCTCCTAATTGTGGTAAATATCAAGTGAGGTCATAGATTTGCAATTACTGACCTATTTCTTCTAATTATTATAAATATCAAACAAGGCCATGGATTTGCAACAGTTCAGTAAAGGACAATGTGGAGTGGAAATATAGGACAATGTTGTTAAATGGTAGGCAGGGTTGTGACCCCAGCCCCTAGCATTCATTGAATCAGCAAACTTAATTCAGCACAAATTCACCTCTGTTTTGCCCTCCCTTACCATGTAAATGATCACTGAATATCCAACCCCTTTATTTGAAACTGTAGTGAATAATTTCCCAAGTATTCCTCTCAATGTTTTAGGAACATAAAAGGTAAGAAGGAGCTGAAGATACTTAAAAGATCATTTCAGCTTGTGCTCTTATTTTTGGATGAAGATACTGCAACTCAAAGAATTGAGTGTTTTTCTCAGGATCACACATCTGGGAAGCAGCTCTAGTTAGAAGCTGGGACTCCTACAATGCCTTCTTTTTCTTTTTCTTTCAGTGCTGATTCCTACCACGCTCGTTCTCCAATAAAGCACTGAACCCTCATCAGCTGTATGTTTCTCTCAGTACAAATCATGGCCTGATGAAATCTAGTCTATTCTCCATCACAAATGTTTCTTCCATTATCTTTAAGCCTCACAGGTCAGTTTCACCTCCCACCTAAATGCTCTTCACTTTTTCTTGACTTTTACTTGACTCCTACTCTGACTGCCTTATTAGCTACTAGTGATATTCTCTTGTCAGGACAAGATTGTGGATTAGCTGGTCAGAGACGGCCATTTAAGTTGTCATGGAAGGTGTCTGTCCTTTTCCAAGCACTGACAGCTGTTGTGTGAGTTGCTCAAGGTAAAATAACCTTCTCGCAGAGGGTAAAAATAAGAAGGTAAAAATAACCTTCTCACAGACATCTCACACCAGAAGTAGGTGTAAATATTTTAGAGAGGAGAATTTAGAAATGGGTGAGAGAGATGACAAGAGTCAAAGCCAGTTAAATGGATTGCAGCTCATTTCAAGGCCTTCAAGAAGCTATTTCTTCTCTAGGGTTTGTTTCTCTAGTCAAGAGGGACTTCCTTTTTCTTTTTCCTTTACTTCCTTTGGCTTCAATCAGCCGCTCCCTACCTCCTAACTGGGCCATCCAAAACAATCTCTGCCACATGTGAAGTCATGCTTATGTAATATTTTCATTGTCTACTACTTAAGCTTGTTTCTAGGTATTTAATGGAAAAATATTCCCTATGATTAAAATATGTTAAACCCCAGGATATATCTTTCTAATGGGGTAAAAAAGAGAATAAGTTAGTGCATTCATTTAAAAAATGTCTGAAAACGAAGACTTGACCAATAGCATCACTATAAAATGAAGCAGCCAGAGATGACAGTAAAGGCCTGGCAAGATCTTTTTCTGTGTGTGTTGTCCATTCATTCTTGATTTTGTTTTCATAAACTATCAATGTAGTATGAATAGGATTAGAATGCAAATAAGCAGATCACCAATATATCTTTTGAGAACAAGGAAAATGTTATATAAACTTTTTACCAATTTTTCTTTTAGGTGTATCTGTTTGTTTAAATATTTATGTCACTCTGACTTGTACTGAAAGAAAGAATGTTTAGCACTTTCTTGTTCCCCCTGACCCCCACCTGAGTGTTACAAAGCATGTTTGACACCAAAGCACCAGTAAGTCCCCTAGCACAGAGTAATATTCCATAAAAAATTATTAAATTTAACTGACAGGTATTCAAATCCAACTGTAGTCAAGAAATTAAAATGTTTTTCTTTTTCTAAATTTTCATGTTAAACACAATGTGAGCTTAAGCTTTAAATAAAAGAAATTACGAGACCTTTAGTTAGAGGTGGGGATATAAGATTGCAGACAACACAGTTTGAGAGCTACCTAAAACATTCAAAAAATGAGAGAAATGAGATCAGTGCTTCCTGGAATGTGTCATAATTCTCCTAAGACAATGGGTCTGTTAAATAATCACTAAAAGGAGGTGAACTTTGAGTCTGGAAGATGTAGGAGAAAGGGGGTAGATCAGAAGATATGTGAAGGAGCCTGGAAGTGCCCTATTATCTATCTCTTGCTTCTCCCTTCCTTCCCATTCCAGACCCAGTATGTTACTCACAGTACAGGGGGCTGAAGGCTGAACTCTTGACAGACTCATTCTCTGGGGTTCCTTAAGCAAGGAGAAAGAAGGAATAACTCCTTGCTTCTTCACCTCTTACTCTTCCAGCCCTGCCAGAAATAAAAAATAATAATAATAATGGCAAAAGCAATCTTCCTGTCTGCTAAACTCTGATGTTACATACAATAGGATCCAAACACGCTCCCTGGGCCTCATTAGTGAAGATTTTTGCCACAGTGTCCTTAAGAGTATGTATACTTGCACGTGCGTGTGTGCGCCTATCTTTGTGTGTGTGTGTGTGTGTGTGTGTGTGTGTGTGTGTTGCCAGAGAGGTGAGGAGCTTAACCTTAGTCCAGATTCACCATACTAATAATTCTTAACTTCGGAGGGTAACCAGTGGCACATTTTTCCTAGTATAAATGTAGTGGTGAATTTTCTAATATTATGTATTTGAATGCAAGTTAAAAAAAACTAACCACGTTAAAAAAAAAAAAAAAAAAACTATCCTGAAGTTTGAAATTTATCTTTCACATTTCAAAAAGATTTCACAAAATAATCAATGTTTTAAAACTGATACAAATTTATTTCACAGAACACTCACTGCTTTACATCTGTCTTGATCACATGCTTTTGTCTTCTGCTATCTCACCATGAAATCTTTTTCTTATCCTTTAAGGATCCTCAGAAGGCTAACATAACTAGTTTGTTAGCTTACAGGTAAGATTCCAAAGGCTTGAGTGATTTGCAAAACTTTCACAAGTATCTTCCAGAAACACTCAGTTGCCTCAGGATCATTTATGGCATTTGAAGATTTAGATGAGAGAAAGGATAAAGGTGTACAGTGATCATGTCCACAGGTGGCCATGAGTACTTCCTACACAGAGGGCGGCAGTAAGGACATTTTAAGTATGTTTGGAACAACCTGGGTATTTGATATACCTTTCAACTTTAATTTTAGGAAATATATGTACAGTTTAAGGGTTTCTGGTAAAAATTTATTTGAACTGAAATGTCATCTAAGTGTAAAATACACCCCAATGGGATATTTGTATAAAAAAAACCAAACAACCTCTTTAATACATATTTGCCTTGATTAAATGTGGAAAATGGTAATATTTTAGATACATATATTGAGTGGAATAAAATGATTTAAATTAGTTTCACCTTTTTCTTTCTACTTTTTCAAAGTAACTACTATACAGTTAAAGATGGCATATCTGGCTTATATTGTATTTTCATTTGATAGAGCTAGTCCAAAGGGCAGTTTTGACTTAAATCAAACTACTATAGTGTACCCACCCGCCTAATCAGACCACTAGCAGTAAACTTTATACTTCTTTGGCAAGCATGTGTTTTGTTCTTAAATAGAATTAGTTAAGACTTCAAAAATTAAAGGAGGTTGGAAAGGAAGCAAATTTAAAAAAAAAGACCAAAAAACTACAGCTAGTAAATTTTCTCCATGAATAACAAATTCAACTGCTTCTCAAAAATCTCTGAGTTCTAACTCTTGAGGAAAATATAGATTTAGTCACTGATAGAACCATAGAGAAATGTACAGTGGAAGTTACAAGATAAAAAGGAAATCACATTGTGATCAGATTTCCATGACACTGCGTGGAATAATTTGGAAATGAGAGAGGAATGCTTGAATAATAACTTGTGGGACTGGAGCTCTGTACTTACAGAAAACACATTTCTAATAATACAGTTATTACTACAGAATTTCAAGGGGTAAAAGGTGGAGCTAGCACCTGTAACATTTCCAAATCAGAGCTTTGTCTGGGATATTTTCATTTCAGAAGGTTTAGCCCTGCTCAAGGTTGAGCTACTTCTGTGCCTTAAAAATCCTACCCTTGAAATCTGGTACTAGCCTTGAAAATCACTATTGCACACGGTAGCCTTGAGTTCTGGTACCTTGGATGCTCTGTGTGCCCCAGCCACTTACCTGCCAATTGTACCTCCAAACACACTCATTCACCTACAGTGCTCAATCCGATTGAGAGCTCCATTATTCACCATATCACAACATAGAAACCTGAGTCAACTTCAACCTGCCCTTCTTCCCTAACCTCCCCAACACCATCAACAATCAGACACCATGTCCAGAATCTCTCAATTTTATCCTCTCTCTCCATCCTCGCTCATCCTCTCTATAATTGACCCAATAGCCTCAGAACTGAGCTCCCAGGTCTTTAGTGGTATTCTGTTGAAATCCGTACTTCAGAATCTTTCATGAAATACCTAAAATTTAAATATGATCAAATATGCACCTCCCCTGGTGGCGCAGCAGTTGAGTGCTGGGCTGCGAAGCTGCCCACAGCCTCTGCAGTGCCGGTTCGATCCCCGGCCGCCAGGCGAGGGTCCCACATGGTGTGCAGACCTCTCCTGCCATGCCCGCTGCTCCCCTCAGCAGTGTATTTCGTTGGTCTGTCTGTTTTGTTCCCCGCTCTAGCTCTGGTGAATTCTCTCACCCTCCCGCGCTTCTGACTGTACCCAGTGCTTGTATTAATTAATTAATTAATTAATTAAAGAAATAAGGATGATCACATCATTCCCCATTTAAATACATTCAAGGATGATACATCACCTGTGGAATTCAGATCTTTTATCTGACCTCTAAAGTCCCCACAAAGTCTACAACTTCATTAATTGCTACTCCCTGATTCCTACTTTATTCTTAAATAATATCAAATGTTTCTAACACTCAGTAGACCCTATGCTGTCTTATGATTTTCAGTTTTTGCTTATATTTGTCTTTCCATCTGGAACACCTTTCCTACAAGATGTTGTCCTTCAAGACCCAATTTAGTTATAAGCTATCACAGAAAGCCTTTCCTGAACCTTCAGACTGAGCTATGAGCACTCTATTCCATATTCTCACAGCATGGGGGAAGATTTATAGCACATAACATGTTGTATTGAATTTAAACTGGCTGTTAAGTTTCTGTCTCTTCTGTTAGACTCTAAAGATGCACTAAAGCAAGGACCAATACTTACTCATCTCTGTAGTTCCACTGCTAGCATCAGCTGACTTTTGGTAAATATTTAATGGAATGAATTAAACAAGGGGTAAAGTCCAAAGGGACTAGGGTTGGAGGTCATTATATCTGGAAATGTACTTAGACTCTTGGTGGTCTCACTGTCAACTAGGGGTCTGAAATTGCAGGAATGCCATAATAAAGTGAGAAAAGAAAACAGCCACAGCTGTTGACATAAGAAAATATCTCGTACGGAGGGACTTACATAATCACTGGATACACATAGGCAGGTTCACACTGGCTGCCTGAAGTCTGGACCCTTCACTCTCCTATTGCCATCCCTCAGGAAGTATGTGGCTTTATTACGAAATTGCCCATTATCTACCCTGAAAATTTGTTTTGATCAGATTTCACCATTCAAAACAACAGTTATTTCAGGGAGTACAATTTTCCCAAGTCCACACAAATTCCATTATGCTTATGATTTAAACAAGATATAGTGGACATAGGGCCAGCCTCAGGGAAAAGCAATATATCAACTTTCATCATGAAGAACAGATGCACTTGAAAGGAATACACAAAATGCTTTACCCAATCACAATTTAAGAAAGTTTCCTGATGACTTTCCCAATTTGCAACCGAAAACTTGTGGCCCACAGTGTGACAGCTGTCCATTCCCATCCAGGAAGATCAGTGGGAATGAGAAGACTGAATCTGCAGTCTTAATTTCTGCCTAGCACCAATGGCTTTGCCTTGATGAGGTGATGAGGTGCTAATGGTAAGATTGGTTTTGTGTTTGTGTTCCATTCCATTACTAGGCAGTGGGTGTTTTGACATGTTTAGAGATCATGATTAATATTTCACCCCCAATTTATTGAGATACCCCTTTAAATGTTATCTAATTGACTGAAAAGCAATACATCCCCTATAATGAAGAACACCTGTCCAGAGGGCAGCCAGTGGAAAGGGGAGCTGCCTCTTATATCCTCTTCTCCCATGTTTGCATTTGGCTTTATTACAGCAGCAAACCAGTCACCCTAAGAAGAGCTGATCTTGTGGCTTGAGATTTTCCAAACCAGATGTGCAGATGAATGTGGAGATTAGCAACAGGAAAGCATATTTGAAAAGCTTTTAAGTCCACTTGAACTTGTGTAGGTTTCACAAGCACTCTGTGAACCCTGAGCTTATGAAAGAGTCTTTGTTTGAGGACCATGGTACCTGTAGGCCAGCAGATTGACAGCTATTTCAACATGAAGACATTGAGACAACTGGAGCCCTGGAAAACGAGCACAGCAGCCCCTCCCTCCCTCTTCCTCCACACTTCTGGGCAAAAAAAAAAAAAAAATGGCCCCAGGAAAGTATAGCATGTGTTGGGACAGCAGGAAGAGTAGCAGGGACAGGAGAAAGAGCAACAAGGTCAAGACTAATAGCAGACTAGCAGAGGGAGGTGATGGCCTGGGAAGAGAGGCAAGTCTGACAACCCTGCATTATGTTGTCAAATGCTAACCCAAATGAATCTTACTCCTTTTTAGACTGTGGGAAAGGGTGATTATCTTTCTCTAGTGATCATACCTCTTCAAATGTTAAGCAGATGACAGATAATTTTGTGTGCAAAATATAGTTGAGCCCAAATGATAAAGGTATGGTAAAGGTAAAAATTATAAGCATTGCATATATGCAACTGCATACGTATAGAAATAATACTTCCCCCACATGCATCTTTATACTAGACTATGGGTTATGCAAGCTTTCTTAGCAATTTCTTGTGTAAGCAGATATCTGTTCTCATCCATGACATCCCAAGGATGCCGTGTGCCAGATTGCCTACTGCATGAAGACAGCAGCTGTTGGTGCTGGTCAGCTGCTCACCCAGATGGGTTCTGTACAAGAAATAAACACCTTGTATAGTGCACAATGTGACTTCTGTGACCCCCAAAAAGACTAATTCTGGCAAGACCCTCAAAGGAACTCTCAACTGCCAAGTTCCCTCTGATCGAACATGAGAACTTCGTCAACTCAGTCAAACCAGGTGTGGACAATGACGAAGTCGCCAGGACTCATTCCCTCTCATACTTGTAAAGAGACCATCCTTACACACTGTGACAGAGCTGGATGAGATGTGATCAGTTTGA